TCTTTTTTTGGCGATCAATTGGGGCGTACTCCTTCAACATCCCCGGGATCAGCCACTGCTCGCGATTACGTAGGACAAAGCTAGCCTTTTCAGTATCACGCAACGTATCAATTCAACCCTCAACCGATATTTTTATCTCTTGAACCTTGAACAGAACTTTCGGGGTTATATAAATTCCTCGGGTTAATGCGGGTGTGATATTGAAAAAAAGCATGCGATATTACTATTTATTATGCTGAAATTCCATAAAATATACAAGTATTGCATCAAAAAATCCTTTTAATTTTGTAAAAGAAAAATCCTTATTAATTTTTAGACGCATTGAATAGTATAGATAAGAGAATGGAAACGGGGAATGTGCCGAAGAGATAACAACCCAACCAGGGAGCAGAAAATAGTCCAAGGCCACTGCATGGGTCATATGCGCAGCGTAAAACATCATGCACCCGGGGCGGGCTTCAGCTGACCCATAAACAATAATGTGAATACTAGTTCAGTGAAATTGACCCCTCACTAATCTCCTAAACATACAAATGAACCAAAATTAAAACAAAACAACCACACAAGACTAACAAAAGTGCCTGACTTGGGACAAGCGCAAAATGCGACGGGGTTAAACATGTTTTGTGAGATCTCAACCCTGTCCCTATATATCTAGTCAATGTAGAATAAACAAACAAACATTGATTGAATTTGGAATAATGTATTGAAATTATGCAAAACGTTGAAATCTGCGTAATGATTAATGAATTGAACGTGTTTAAAACTTTCGTGCAAATATATTCTGTTTGATCTTTATGTACAAATAATCATTCCATAAATACTTGTCAATGTATACATACTTTACAATAAACTGTGAATGAATGACATATCTGAGGGTCTGGATGGGTTTATAGAATAGAGAATCAAGGAAATGAACCAAGAGTACAGAAAAAATGGGCCAACAAATAAAGAATATAGACAAAGTTAGCTAAAAAATAGAGAAAAAAGAATAATGGCGTGCTAAAATATAACAAATAATGAGAACAATTTATAAAGTAGAAAGAAAAATTGTGAAGACCAGTTTGAATAATAAAGATAACTTATTAAAAAAAGTTATAGAATAAAGAAATGAAGGACACCAAAACAGACCCTCATATCTTCTTGTAATAGACCACTAGTATCATATAGGGTGAAGGATTTCAATTTTTCCTGAGTGGACAGGAACTGGAAGAGATTACAGCTTATCTCGAGTGGAACTCAGAGATATTGAAGCTGATCTCGAGTGGAGTTAAAAGAAATTGATGCCGATCCAGATTGGAATTCTAAAAGGTTAAAATTGATCTCGAGTGGAGTTGAGAGTGATTGAAGCTGATCTCAAGTGAAGTTGATTTGATTGAAGCTTATCTCAAATGTTTAAGAGTATCATTTTCTATGTTGTCTAATACACTCAAATTTCTAATACTTATAGAACTAAGGGTTGGTATCGCTTTGAGGTGTATTAATACGATGTCTGATTGTATAGGTGTTACAATATACAGACTAGAACACATTCAGTCATCTTAATAAGAGAAACCTGAATGTTTCAAGGGAGCTTTAACAACGGTCAAAACTGTTTCAGTTCTATATATTCTAGAAAAATTAATTTTTATTACATTAAATACTTGGTAATTTTTTTCTAACTCCAATTTTGGCTAATTTAAAAAACAAAACAGTGTTCCATAAAGAATCAAGTACCTTTTTAAAACTGTAAAGCACAAACTTTAAACTTAACAAATTTTACAAAGGAGCAAACAAGTAAGAAAAAATTGAAATTGAGAATAAAATCAGATTAGAACATAAAGGTTGTTTCTACCTAGCAATATTAGATTATATCTTATATTTTACTTCCTTACACGCAACTAGATCAATTTCAGTTTTGAATTTTATTTGTTTTAGAATATGAGCATTATATATCACTTAATCACTGCACAGTAGAATACACGGAATTTTCAGAATGCATTATTTCATTTTAAAATGGGATTGACACTTATGAATACCATTTGTTGTACCAAAATATTTGTCTTTCAAACAGAATAATTTTATCTTACTAAATCTTTTTTTTTTTATCATTATTGATGCACAAATCTTTATATACTTAAGGGGCGGATCCAGCCATTTTTAAAGGGAGGGTTCCAAATAGAACGGGGGGGGGGGGGGGGGGGTTTCCAACCTATGTCCCCATTCAAAAGCATTGATCGTCAAAAAAAGGAGGATTTTCAACCCTCGGACCCCCCTTCCTTTTTCCCTGGATCCGCCACTGGACTTTTATATGTTTGTCTGTGTGTGTAGTATCGTTGTTTCCAGACGACCCTAAAGGTACTCCGGGCTTAAACATATTTACGTTTCCATGACTCCATCATTATTTTCCCTGGACAAATCTTTACTCTGGTCAAATTACAACAAAATTAACATAATGTTAATGTATGTTCATGACAAGATGGAGAAATGATTATCTCGGATAATTTATTCGGTACAGTAGGCATGTGAAGGAATATGTCCTTTAATACATCAAATCTAATTTATTTACGTCAAATGAATGTGTTATACGATAGCTGTTACCACTTCATCTTAAACTTAAAGACTATTTACGTAGTACATGCTTTGTAAATAATGCTAGAGGAAATTTATCAACATTAACAATGAATAGAATATTGAATTGAACCCGTGGTGGAAAGTTGTCTGATTGGCAATTATACCACTTATTATTCATATACGTCTATTTATAATATGTTAAATATGGATGCGAAGATTTTATCCTTGATACAAAATTGGACTCCGAATAATATTATCATGCATTAGTGCATCTTGTTCTCGGGACAGTTCCTTTAAAACATATCCGTTACATTTTTTCCCCCATATTTTAACTTGGTTTACATTATAAGTACATACATTCTAATGCTAAAGATTGTATTTTAACATTTAGATTTCTTTTGGTTTCGTTGTGTTGTTTGTTTTTCGTCTCCTTGATGAATGTCCTTCGTCTCATTTTATTCTAACAAACAAACATCCAATCACGCGAATACAAAAAATACAATAAATGACGATAAAATGAGCCACTTTTCTCCAAAACATACCTGTAAAACCGTCAAATAGTTTCGAAATGAAGATAAATCTTGAGATCCCAATTTTGCCCCACTTCGACAGTCAATACAAATTCATATATGGCCCTGAGACGATAAAATATTAACATGTGTAATATTTAAAGCAAACTTTAATCATAAATGTAAGTTACTATACCATGACAAATTTGCAGTATGCAAACTCTCGAAACAGGTTAAATGTAATAGGTAATTTCAGTGGTATACTGAGCAATTAAAGTAAGGCGTCAGTGTTTTTTAAGCTACAACATTAATATCAACAACAACAACAACAAAAAAAACACTCTAGAAATTTGTTTAATATTATAAAAATGAACTCGTGTTTTCTCTGTTTTGATGGATGAAAAGAAAAGACGTGATGCGATGTTGTTGTTTTTTTTTATCCATGACAAAAATCATAAACGCACTTGATAAATCCAATGCAAATGAGGGTCAGCAGTTCCTCATCAGACTAAACAATAATCACACTTAAACCAGTGGCGGATCCATAAATTGTTATAAGTGGGGGCCTACTGACTGACTAAGAGGGGGCCGGCTCCACTCATGCTTCAGGAATTCCCTAAATAACCAACCAAATTTTTCCCACAAAAGAAGGGGTCCCCCTGCCCCTAGATCCGACTCTGTGCACCTTCCTTAAATGCTCACAATTTTCACAAAATTAAATATATATATTTATCTTACCTCCTATACATTTCTAGGAATGTGATTGGTTAAAAGCGCCCTCGTGGTGACCGTGTATATTTCATATTAGGTTAGTAGGGAGGCGGGGCTTATCTCATACACGGTTAGTAGTGGTGTTACGTCCCTTTATATTCCTTATAAGGTAGTTAGGTTGCGGGGCTTATTTCATACACGGTTAGTAGTGGTGTTACGTCCCTTTATAAAAACAAAACGGTACTGAGAAAAAATCGTAAAGGTTTCAACAGACGAAGAAAGTGATGATTAAGATTGAAATTAATTCATAAAACACATTTAAACCAAACAAGTTGTTATTGTTGGTATCTGTTTTTGTAGGATCAATGGAAGCAGTTTCTTAATGCTAACAGTATTGAAGACTTGCTCATTTTATAGGTCACTAGTCTAAATTTCACACGTTGACCTAATACGGTATATATGGGGTCAGTAAATTCCATATGGGGATTCGAGCTTCGCTCTCACCCCATATGGAATTTACTGACCCATATATACTGTATTAGGTCACTAGCACACTATGTAACTAATAATATTTGCCCAAAATACAAGACATGACAGACTATTGGTTTCTTTGAAGCGTAAAATCTCATTTGGTGTCTTCAATGCTTCCGGTTGATAGATTTGAATTCTAGTTTTTTTCCAATGTTTACAACAAGATCAATCTGCGGTAAACGAATGCTATGCTTCAAGTGAAACTGGGTTTTGTCGATGCCTGTTCAAAATATCCTTTTATATAAAAAAAAAACCATTTGGATAATCTGATTTAAATTTGCATCAAAAGAAAATGATCATCCAATGAGCGAACATCACATCATAATACATCTCTTGTTATTTACAGTTTTTTACTGATTTATGATTCAGGTTTACAGAATTGAAAAAAAAATGGCAAAATAAATAAAAAGAGAAAAAATGGGTGCTAAAATATGAAAAAAAACATAGAGAAATGTGGGAAAACAATATCAAAAAGAGAAAATGCTATAAACAATTAAATAATATGGAGATGAAGACGCAGGGATTTCATGTGTGCGTTGTTTCTTAATTTTAGCGGAAAATCAGAATAAATGAAACTCTTCCATGATTCTTTGCCATGGTGATAATTGTGAAGATGTTAGCATTTATTTTTTCCTTCAGAGAATAGAATAATGATGGTGCGTTTTCTAGTATGTTGAGTATATTTTTAAATGTCATCATAGTAGAGATGACATGGATACTCGTCCTTTTTTATTGATATTTTTAAACCTTATCTTGTTAGATGGAGTACAAATTGAACCACATTGACAAAAACGGCAGAATGAGGTTCGTATTTAACGTTTCAACTTAAAGGTTGTGTTTTTCTTAAAGTTTCTCTTATGATTTAGTCAATATAAACAGTAACATATCAAAACACATGTTAATTCCAATTTACAACCGAAAGTATTCAAAGGAAATATTTTTACATAAACGTGCGCATAATTAAATGTTTTTCGCAAATTGAATAAAAATTTGACATTTTCTTATCTTGCATTGACATAATACTGACGTTAATGCTGTTGAAATCCGAAGTTTAGAACTTTGAAGGATTATAAGTAACTGCATTTTTCGTGCATCAAACATAAATAACTTGAGGCCATTGGAAATAAACAATCCTGTCACGAGGAAGCATGTTATATTTACCACTGGACGTTAAACATAATTCCTTGATTAGGATATTGTCCAACAATCACGACCAGATGGTGTGCGTTTTTGAAATAATACCAATAATTCCTAAGATTCTGAAAGGATAAATTATTAGTACACATTTTCGGAATTTTCGGTTTTAATGCTCTTCAGATTCGTATTTGATTCAGTTTACCAACTGTTTTGAATCTGGCGCCACTGGTGAGTGTTATGGAAACGAAACGCGCATCTGACGTACTTAATTATTGACCTTGTATCTTTATTGCGTTTTTTAAGTGCACTGTACGAACATTTTTATATTTTGCTTCATTTAAAGTAGCACATCATATCATTGGTCTTAAATATTTATAAATGTTATTTGTTCATTGTGTTAGACTTGTAATGATCTTCCCCTTTATACTTAACCGCGGTGCATTTCTGTGCCTGTCTCAAGTCAGGAGCCTCTGGCCTTTGTTAGTCTTGTAATACAAGTTTTTTTAATTTTAGTTCATTTATATGTTTTGGAGTTTAGTGTGAAGTCCATTTTCACTGAACTAATACACATTTATTCTGCTCTTTGGTCGGGTTGTCGTCTCTTTGACACATTACCCATTTCCATTCTAAATTTTATTGCTATCTTATTGTTTTCAAAAGAAAAGGCAAAAACGTACCCATTGGTAAACATCCTCAATTAAGGGCAATAACATCCTATAATTAGTCTTCTCTTTCAATGTTGATACATATGTCGATCGTGTCTTGCTGAGGATTTTTGCTGTATACAGTTTCTACCTATCTATTATAGGTTTCAAAACAATTGGCAAAAATTCAAGAAATTAGTAAAAACTGTGTTTAAGGACAATTACTCATACAAGAGTAGTCTGACGATTTCTGCCATTTGACTTTTTGTAGACCCTGCCTTACTGATCATGTTTATATTTTTTCTCTATCTATTATAGCTCTATAAGAAAATAGGCAAACATGACAAAATGAGTGGGAAAATAAGGGAAATAACTCATATATGACGATTTAGGCAATGTTGACTTTATTGCAGATCTAGTCTTGTTGATATTTTTTTATATTAAAAGTTTCTCTTCATCTATAATAGTTTTCAAGATAAGAAGCAAATTGAAAACAGGACATTAAACTTTGAGATATTTTACTTTGAGGTCTATTAAAATAACTGTATAGCTATGTGATACATAACAATGCAGAACGTTACCGAGTCACATAAAAATGTGTGTGATTAAAAAAAAATTGTTAGTAATTTGGGTCAGATCAATGTGTTTACATCCGTCTTTACGAAATATATATACTTAGTATATATTTTAAGGTTTACCGACCGTGTATGGGAATTGTCAAACCTTTGCACTTGCGTCTTAATATTTGGTGAGGGGAGGGATTGCCTGTTATTAGAATTTCATTATCACATGATTAGAGTTAATAACTTATGAATTTTACGGTATTATAGTGAGTAAATGACAACAAATTAACGTTATTTCTAATGTCTATTGAGTCTTTTCAAATGTATTATCAGCCCTCAGTCGATATAAGCCCTCGAGGATTCTGCTCGTAGGCTGATATCATAACCGAAGACTAAAGGTACATCTGATTTGAAAAATATCATGTAATAATCCAATTAACTATATGTACGCTAGGAAAATTATCCAAATTCTTTGTAACAAAAATATAGAAGTCAGCCATTTATTACATCTGAAACTTTAAATTCAGGAGATTGAAACATACATGTGTGAAGTATTTATGATTATATGAACGAAGGAGATAGGAATTGTAAGTCACCCCCACTAAATCCATTGATGTATAATGTCTAGATTCCTGATTTAAAACATGTACATTATAAGGTGAATGGGTTAAACAGGGATTATTACTTCTTATTCGGGACACGGGTTTCAACTTTACAAGACTCACTAATAGCGCTCGAATAAAACTAATTAAGAAGGCATAATCAACCTCTACAGTGAGAAGCATAACAAATCCTGCAAATATGTGCCAAATCTGGCCATCTCTGTCTGGGCAGAGAAAAACTTTTAAACCACTCCTGCAAATATGTGCCAAATCTGGCCATCTATCTCTGGGCAGAGAAAAACTTTTAAACAAATCCTGCAAATATGTGCCAAATCTGGCCATCTATGTCTGGGCAGAGAAAAACTTTTAAACAAATCCTGCAAATATGTGCCAAATCTGGCCATCTATGTCTGGGCAGAGAAAACCCTTTAAACAAATCCTGCAAATATGTGCCAAATCTGGCCATCTATGTCTGGGCAGAGAAAAACTTTTAGACAAATCCTGCAAATATGTGCCAAATCTGGCCATCTATGTCTGGGCAGAGAAAAACTTTTAAACAAATTGTGCCAAATCTGGCCATCTATGTCTGGGCAGAGAAAAACTTTTAAACAAATCCTGCAAATATGTGCCAAATCTGGCCATCTATGTCTGGGCAGAGAAAACCCTTTAAACAAATCCTGCAAATATGTGCCAAATCTGGCCATCTATGTCTGGGCAGAGATACTAAAATAGTTCTAAAAAGATTATGTATCCATTTGACACACTGTACTGATTGCTCGAACAATCAAAATTTCCATGTTCTGAGAAACCACTGATATACATATACTGAAACATGTGGTATAATATATTTTTTAAAGTAGAAACACAATGTTCTTTTCAGTGCATCGGTAAACCAAGAAGATCTTTGACATTATATATTATATTATATGTCCTAACTGAAAGTTCTATAATTTGAAATATAATCTCCATTGTAAACGCATCTAGACTTTCATTGTACCATTGGAACGCTGTTGTATAATTCAAATTCAGTTGTTTGACAATGACAAAACATGTATGAAAATAGTCCAATTATACGTCCCATTTATTCCTATAAGATAAATATCGTTTATAGTTACTGAAGGGCCCATGGAGTGCAAAGAACTTTAACACAAAGATTTGTACAATGATTTCATTATGTATTATGTAATATCTGACAAGCTACAATAGTATAGACTAGGTCAACAAAGTCAGTGATATATTTTCAGTTTTATAACATAGCAAAGTTCTCTAGACAAAAGGAATTGATGTATTTGATGTGTCTTAATTGCTATGAATGAATATAATCCATGTTCTTTGTACGGGATTATCCTATTGTGGGCGACATTTTTTTGCGCCAAAAAATAAACTCGATCATTTGCGCCACAACTTATTTGCGACAATGCTACTTTTTCGCCACTCTTATTAAAAAAACATAGGCATCATTTGCGCCAAAAAAAAAAAAAAACCCATCTAATTGCGCCAATTTTATGAATTTATTCATCTTTACACTGCCGTATATATATCAACTAAATAATTGACTTCCCTCCTCCTTCACGGATGTCATTCGGTATGTCGAGAAAAAAGATCGTGAAAGATTACCTAACGGTGGTCAAGTATTGCGATTTGGATCGTGAAAGCTCTGGTATAGGATCGTGAATTAAATCTTACCGAGAAGACATATGCAAGGTCAATTACTAATCTAATTTAATGAATTATATGGACAAATTTACAGAAAATTAAAACTGTCTGTCAAAATGGTTCAACATTATGATCAGTATCTGAATCAATGTTTAAAAGTAAACAGTTTTACAAAACTACAAAAGGCAGATTGCTCCTCGACATTTCAATGACATAAAATATGTAAACAAACAAGATATGTTTCATAATTCGAATAACCAAACAACTTTTCTTTGAAAAATTGCATTCCATTTTAAAGATTCAAATGGTTCTTAAAGTTATCTTGTGTTAGCATAATGAGAAAGTTTGCAAAAAATGAAATATTTACAAAAAAGTGATTTTTTGGATCGTGAAAGATCGCATATACCGCTTTTTGAAGATCGTGAAAAGGATGGTGAAAGATCTGATGCTACGAAAACGTTCAAATCATTATTTAATTATATGATCATTTATATTTTTAATTGGTATAGAAAATATTGGATTTGCATGACTCATTCCGGTTCTCTTTTGGTGTAATACCACCATTGATTTTCCCCTATTAGTCTTTGTTAAATTTGCACTTTTCATCCTGTCCAGTACTATAGAAGAAATTTCACATAACATTTCATTGCATTTAAGAAAACAACCATCACTGTAAGTTAACCAATCGAATTTTCCCCTCTTTTTTTTACCTGTGTACAAGCTTTAGTCACCATCATGGCATGTAACCTCAAGTTTCCAAAATATTCTATAGAAACACCAAATAATAAAGTAATGGTGCTTTGAAACACCCAAGATTATGGCATGGTATTGGTTGCAAAAATTAAATATTTTTCATTTATACGCAATATTTTTAATTTAATTGGCATATTTCTTCATTTAAATGCAATATTTTTTTATTTGAATGGTATATTTTTTCATTTAAATGCAATATTTTTTATTCAAATGGTATAATTTGTCATTCAAATGCAATATTTTTTATTTGAATGGTATATTTTTTTCATTTCAATTCAATATTTCTTATACAAAGATACATATAACAAACAAAATGTTGGTTATCGTTCAATCTCAAATACTTCATGAAAGATGCTGTTTTTGCTATAAGTTTTTGGTTGATGGTTAACTTTTTGGTTTAAACGTTGCATACCAATATTATTGGCTAGATAATGGCGGTCTGCCTGATT